CTCTCTCTCTCTCTCTCTCTCTCTCTCTCTCTCTCTCTCTCTCTCTCGTTTTTTTAACTTGTTGAATTCTTTTTTGCAAACCCGGATGTTTGTAATCGAATTTAGCATAAAAAAACGCATTTCGCAAAAAAGAGTGATAATAACAATGGCAAAAATTCCGACAAATATTTGAATCGTCTAAATCGATCTTGAAATATGTTGTGTGTATGAATTCGAATCTGAAATAAATTTTGATTGCGATGCGCTTGACAAGCAATAAACTTTGGTTTTGTAACAAACACTTCATGAATTTAGTCGCAATTTATATAAAGTTTTTTTTTGGTTTATTCCAGTTTAATGGATTGGTCGATGCGAAGCTATTGAAAATACCCTATATGATAATAATTTGATGAATTCATAATAATAAAAATTATTTCCAAAACAGTCAATGTCGTGGCTTGTGATAAATCAAATGGCAGCAAATGAAACGACAATAACTAAAAACAAACAGATTTATCACAAGTTTTATTGCTTCCGATAACGAACGCGACAGCGAATTCTCTTACAGTAGTACTTATCTATCGGTGAGATTGAGAGTAGAATTCGTTTGATGGGCTTTGTTATGAAAGATAAGAGTAAGATTTTTTCGACAAAAAAATGGTTAGATGCGACTGTTTTTCTTTTTGGGCGGATTTGAATGATTTTTCGCGAAACTTTTGACAAGAGTTTAACAATTTGGTGTCTTTGGCAAAGTTTTTTTTCCATTCAAAGTGGCCTTTATTTCTTATCAGTTCAGCGAAAAACTCAATACAGCCCACGACGTATAAACATAAGGAGAATAACATAAATCATAAAGAAAACAGCTCAACTCTTTAAAAATATAAATCAAAGTAAAAATATACTCTCCTCTCTCATAGATAGTAGCACTCAAACTTTTTCGTGTTATATTATGATCATGTTGAACTATTTCGCTTTGTTTAATCAAGGAAAGGAGCTGATTTTTCCGGTGGATGATCTCTCTTTCATGTAATCAGGTGCAAACTGTAAGGCATGCGTTCAACTACTTTGTCTGTCTCTCGTTTCGAAGGGCATGTTTTAAAATTCTTCGACTGTTTTCTGTCAATCATGCATCGAAAAGTTTACACTAGCTTGAACCGAAGCGGATAGGCAAAATGTTTTTACAGTATTATCCGGTACGTGTGCAGAAATACAACATTTCATTGGCTGGCAGTAGCTGAAAAACATAGCATAGTGAAAAGTTGCGTTTTAAATGGGATAAAATGCAAATAAAATGTCAGTTTGATATACAATGTGCATTGGTGGAGTTG